CAGGGGGACACTCGAGCCTGTATTCGTCCCTGTGTGTCAGTGTGTCAGATGCCCCTCTTGTGCGCCAGAAAAGCTGCTCACCCTGTAGTTTAGACTTCTGCAAACATGCTCTTAAATTCATTCACTCAAATGTTTTGTTTTTTTTGTCTACAATAACAGCTTACAGCCGTCGAGTGTGTGGTGTGTGTTTACAAAATGACTCACGACGGCGCTACATAAACAAACCCAAGTCTATTTATCCGTGTCCAGAGCAGAGCTGTGAGATTAAGCACAATCGAATCAAAATCCCAGTTTGAATGGACGTAATGAGCAAATCTCAGAGGCTGTAATTCTATAAGCAACATCATCTCTCTTACAAACAACCAAATCCCCCATTTTATTCTGCACAAAAGCTGCTAACCCTGGAGTTTAGATGTGTACAAACACGTTCTAAAATGTTCCAGTGTGTCAGATGCCCTCCCAGCATCTCCATGGGGTCTTATTCTGCATAAAAGTTGCTCATCCTGTAGTTTAGATCCTTATAAACATGTTCTGAAATATGGTTCTTGCGCTCGTTTGTCATGACAGATTTGAGTCTTTTTGTCGATTCTTCTGGAAAAGTTTAAAATGTGAACTTTGAACAGAATCTTATTATTAAAAATTTAAAAATTTAATCACAATAGTTTCGTTTTTTTACCCATATAGTTCAGCTGTAGTGTGTTGTCGTACAGCAGGGGTCATCAAACTAAGGCCCGCGGGCCAACTCCGGCCCTCCACACCTTTTTGACCGGACCCCAGCCCCTCTCACTTGAACTGGCCCCATGAGGCAATCCTCAAAAGTTTTCATGGCCTGTTTTGTAAAATTACTTTTTGGCAAATAAGAACACGTCTGCATCTTGTATTTCGTAAATTTTTTCAATTAAAAAAATTATATTTATATGAAGTATTTATATTTATATAATTCTATGACATATTTACATTTGCTGCCGAATTTTCATCACGTGACAAACTCGAGATCAAACAGTGAATGTGTTTACGTGCACATCAGTGTCCCGGTTATGACTGGGTTTTTTGAGTACCGTATTTTCCGGGCTATTAGTCGCGCTCTTAAGCCTCCAACCCTATCAAAAAAAACAACAGCGTCCCGCAATCCAGAGCGCCCCATACACGAATCCACTCGGGAGTCCCAGCACGACTTCAGTAAACTACAAAGCCGCAAACACACACGGAGCAGACAGTGACCACGCAGCGAAACACACCCACAGACACACTCATCACTCCACGCCGACGAGGAACGGAACGGAGGAACGAACCGAAAAAGCGAGCGCGACCGTGCCGCTTCTAGACACGACTGAACAACTGAGTCACTGCGAACACGCCGACAATCCAGCGACAGACACACCCTCCCTACACGCCACAACTGAACAAAGCCCAGAGTCACTGTGAACGAACAAACAAACAAAACCACTCACCCATCACACTGTTGGGTCCAGTGCCGTTTCTAAATTCTAAACTAAAAAAGTTCGAAAATAGACCATTTAATGACAGTGAGCCTTATAATCCAGAGCGACTGATGACCTGGAAAATACGGTATTCATGTTTCTTCATGGTGCATGTACACGTAGTCCCCTGGTTTCTGTATCTTGGTTATTAGAAGCCGGGTTACTGTAGCTGGTTTATTCCGATAGTAACCGGGACACTGTGGCATGTAAACGCACTCACTCACTACCGTATTTTCCGGGCTATTAATGTCAAACGGGCTGACGTGGCTCTAGAGTCGTTATGTTTATATGTCGTAAAGTTGAATTTATCTGTGCAGATTAGTAGTAATAATAATGATGATCATTTTAATATAAAAACATTAATGATTAATCGATAAGCGATAGTTAATTCTCCAGACGATCGATTAATGAAATTTCATCGACTGCCCGTCCCTACACAATACGCTTTTATTTCTCATGTGTATTATTATTTCTTCACAAACGTAAGGAGATACGGTGTATTTCTGTTGTACTACGATCATCTGAGCTGTTCAGGGTTGAATAATTAACTACTGTGGCTAATTATTAGTAAATTCTGCTTTTTATTTATTGCGGCTCAGACCTGTTTGCTTTTCCAGTGGAGAATCGGACACTGTTTGCCTCAGTAGAGAAGTTTCTGCTTCATCTGGAACGTTTAAAAGTAACTCTGAGCAGCGTTGGGAAGGTGACTTTTAAAATGTAATCCCCTACAGATTACAGATTACATACCCCAAAATGTAGTTTGTAACGTAATCCATTAAATTACTTAAAGTGAGTAACGTAATCTGAATACTTTGGATTACTTGATATTGTAGCCACCACATCCACATCCTGAAAATTCATGTTTGTTTTCTTCAAATTGTCTGTTGAGTCCAAATCTCCATGAACAGACTTTTGTTTTACTGTAGAGAAGAAAAGACGAGGATCTGAACATGAGAAGTTTTATCTGCTCAAAGAAAAAAAGTCTTTACTGAACCAGATTAAAAATATTATTGACAGAGAAATGATTTTTATATGAGACACTGCTGCTTTAAATTATGTTCACCCTAATGTTAGTGTCATACTGTTTAGTCCTGGTTTAGTCCTGGTTTTACTCCTAGTTTAGTCCTGGTTTAGTTCTAGTTTTAGTCCTGGTTTTAGTCCTAGTTTAGTCCTGGTTTAGTTCTAGTTTTAGTCCTGGTTTTAGTCCTAGTTTAGTCCTGGTTTAGTTCTAGTTTTAGTCCTGGTTTTAGTCCTAGTTTAGTCCTGGTTTAGTTCTAGTTTTAGTCCTGGTTTTAGTCCTAGTTTAGTCCTTTTAGTCCTAGTTTAGTCCTGGTTTTAGTCTAGTTTAGTTTTAGTTTAGTTTTAGTCTAGTTTAGTCCTTTTAGTCCTGGTTTTAGTCCTGTTTAGTTCTAGTTTTAGTCCTGGTTTTAGTCCTAGTTTAGTCCTGGTTTAGTTCTAGTTTTAGTCCTGGTTTTAGTCCTAGTTTAGTCCTGGTTTAGTTCTAGTTTTAGTCCTGGTTTTAGTCCTGGTTTAGTTCTAGTTTTAGTCCTGGTTTTAGTCCTAGTTTAGTCCTGGTTTTAGTCCTAGTTTAGTCCTGGTTTAGTTCTAGTTTTAGTCCTGGTTTAGTTCTAGTTTTAGTCCTAGTTTTAGCCCTAGTTTAGTGCTGGTTTTAGTCCTAGTTTAAGTCCTGATTTTAGTCCTGGTTTAGTCCTGGTTTAGTCCTGGTTTAGTCCTAGTTTTAGTCCTAGTTTTAGTCCTAGTTTTAGTCCTAGTTTAGTCCTAGTTTAAGTCCTGATTTTAGTCCTGGTTTAGTCCTAGTTTTAGTCCTGGTTTAGTCCTGGTTTAGTCCTGGTTTAGTCCTGGTTTAGTCCTGGTTTAGTCCTGGTTTAGTCCTGGTTTAGCCCAAAATGTGAAAACAGGAAAATCCCGCCGTGTAATCCATTTATTTCAACAAAGTAACTGTAATCCAATTACCACTCACTGAAACAGTAACTGTAACTGAATACAGTTACTCTTATAATTTGTACTCTGATTACTTAACTCCGGTACATGTAATCTGTTACTCCCCAACACGGACTCTGAGTGACCTGTAGCTTGGATTAAAGGTCACTTACTTGTCCCCACGGAGACAGAACCCTTCAATGCCGTACTGCGGAACATTCTGGGCAAAGTAGGAGGCCCTCCACCAGAAAAGTTACACGGTGTAGCTTTAAAGCTCCTGTATGACGCAAAACTGATTCTTGTGAGCTTTAACTCGTGTTCTAATGTTGTTACTGCATCAAAAACAGACCTGGAGTTCTGTTTTGTTTCATTCACACAAGTCTGAGCGACACGATCTACATCTCCAAAGCTCTAAACGCTCTGTTCCACCTTGTGATGTCACGAAGAGGAAAGGTTTTCAAGTTCGCGGCTCCTTTTATCCTTTCGTTCAGCAAAGATCGGCAATTCCACGGCCGAAACGATTCCAAGTGATTCTAGTGAAGGTGTGCGGGGTTTAAAAACGCAGTGGAGCGCTTCCTGTGTGACCACGCGATGACATCACAAGGTGGAACAGAGCGACGAGGAAACTCTATTTGAACAGAGATCAGAAAATAACGTAATACGAACCCTTTAAGAGACGATGAAAATGTGTAAAAAAAACAAAACAAAAACTGACTTCACAGATCAGAACAGTCGCAAAGTCTAAACTAGAACCAAACCAGGACTAAACTAGGACTAAACCAGGACTAAACCAGGACTAAACCAGGACTAAACCAGGACTAAACAGGACTAAACTAGGACTAAACCAGGACTAAAAACTAGGACTAAAAGGACTAAACCAGGACTAAAGAAGGATCTAAAACCAGGACTAAACAGGACTAAAGGACTAAACCAGGACTAAACCAGGTCTAAACAGGACTAAAAGGACTAAACCAGGACTAAACCAGGACTAAAACCAGGACTAAACTAGGACTCTAAACCAGGACTAAACTAGGCCTAAACCAGGACTAAAAAAGATCTAAACCTGGACTAAACTAGGACTAAACCAGGACTAAAAACAGGACTAAACTAGCCTAAACCAGGACTAAAAGAAGATCTAAACCTGGACTAAACCAGGACTAAACCAGGACTAAACTAGGCCTAAACCAGGACTAAACTAGGCCTAAACCAGGACTAAAGAAGATCTAAACCTGGACTAAACCAGGACTAAACTAGGACTAAAACTAGGACTAAACCAGGTCTAAACCAGGACTAAACCAGGACTAAAATCAGGTCTAAACCAGGACTAAAGAAGATCTCAACCAGGACTAAATCTAGGACTAAAACCAGGTCTAAACTAGGACTACGACCCAACTTAAGACCTTAACAAAGCAGAATTTCAGAGTAATTGTTGAAAAAAATAATAATAATAATGGGCTAAAAGACGAAATCAGGTCAGCAAAACGTGAAAACTACAGGCCGGGTTGTGTTTTTACGCACGGGCCCTGGTCTGTCGTCTCCAGGCGCCTCCACGCTGCGCTCAGGTGCGCCAGAGCTTACCTGGTTTCCTCCCACGAGCGCGAGGAGTCCCACAGCCACGGCGTACGTCCTCTCCTTTACGTCCCCTCGCTGTTTTCTTAAAAAAAAACAAAAGAAAAAACAAAACAAAAAAAGCTCTCGAGTTGTTTTTTTTTTCTCCTCCTCCTCCTCGCTTCAAACCCCCGCGAATCGACGCATTTCCAGAGTTAGTACGGAGTTTTTCACGCGTCGCAGATCCGCCGACGAGACCCCCCGACGACGCACGACAGTCTCCGGAGATTGACGAAGTTTTGGCGGCGATCGGGCGACTCCGGAGGCCTTTTTTTTCTTCCGTGGGGCTCGAAATGCGTCTCGTTGATCCGTTTTCGTGGGGACAGAAGCTGCAGCTCGCGCGCGCGGATCACGTCTGTCCTCGTCCTCGTCCTCCTCCTCCGCCGTGCGCGCTCCCGGCCCCTGCGCGCGTGCACGTGTGTAATCAGATGCTGCTCGTCACAATCCACTCATCCTCTTTGCTCTGTTAACCCTTCACTCACCGAGACGCGCCCACGAGATTTTTTATTTTATTTATTTATTTTCAAAAATGTATTTATTAAATGACAAACCGTAATACAGAAAATAACATAACAATATACACATAAGATAACAAATCGAATGCCAGGGGGAGGCGTAGTACATGAAGAAAACCTTAATCGCCACTGTTACATTGTAAAAAAAAATATTCATGGACATACAACTCTCATAAATCAATACAGCTTTTTTGTTTACACTTTTAGAGACAGAAGATAAGTATAATTCTAATTGCTTAATTAAAATAAAGAAGTGTGTGAGAATTTACATTTGTGAATATAAAATTTGCCAAATATAACAATTAAATTAATTACCATTGTTTTATTGGAGTCTAAATTCTTTTCATGTACACCAAAAATAATATGTTCAAATTTTAATGAAAAATTAGGGTCTATATCAGGGGTGTCAAACTCATTTTGATCTGGGGGCCGTATCCAACCGACTTTGATCCCAAAGGGGCCGGATCAGAAAACTCATGGCATATAAACCCCAAAAATAACAATAAGTTCAAATATTTGTGCAGACAAATGCAAATCTATTTCAAAAATCTTTTTTAATTGATGAACTTTTTCTTTTACAAAATATTATAATATTATGAACAACCTGAAACTTCAAGAAAAATGCAATTTCAACACAAATGTTTTTAACATGAACTTGTTTAAAATTAACTTGTATAAATAGGAATAAGTAAGTTTTTGTTGTAAAATCCTGCACTCGGCTCCACTTTTCTCATGTTGGACATTTTTCTGATGAGGGTGTCACGGTCAACAGTCAAAACGATCGTCCTTTAAGAGCGTTTGGAAAGAGACAAGTCTTCATTTGTGCTGCTCTGGTGGGAGGGGCCACGTACAGAGACGCTGGAGACGCTGCTGTGATAAACACCACAGAAAATAACAAGATTTTAATAAAAAAAATAGAATCAAAATATTTTTGTAGAAAATCAGCTGAGGGCCAGATTAAAGGTCTTGGAGGGCCGGATCTGGCCCCCGGGCCGCATGTTTGACACCTGTGGTCTATATGATCTTTAATACATTTTAATCAGTCTTTCCAAAATGTTTTAGTAATAGTGCATTTCCAAAAAAGATGTTTTGGGATATTCTTTACAAAATGTGCAGTTAGGATTCATTGTTGTAATATATTTTAGCATAAATTGGTTAGTAGGGTAAATTTTGTGCATAAGTTTAAAGGAGACATCCCTCATCTTATTATTTATCTACATTTTTGATGCACAGTCCATCCTTTCTTCCATATAGAGTCAGGGACAACATTCCTCCAGTAAAACCTAGCAGAGGTACAGAGTTAACGCGCCCACGAGATAAAACTGGAGACGTTTAGAGCAGGAAAGAAGGAAGGAAGGAGGCACGTTTTACTTGAGTCACTTTTTAAAGGTTCTAGATTACAAAAATGTATTCTGAAGAGCTTTAAGTGATGTGATAATATTGTTACCGCATCAAAAACAGACCTGGAGTTGTGTTTTATTTCATTCACACGTGTTTGAGTAACTCTTTATTATTAGTTTGCAGTGTTGGGAAGGTGACTTTTAGAATGTAATCCCCTACAGATTACAGATTACACACACCAAAATGTAGTTTGTAACGGAATCCATTAAGTTACTGAAAGTGAGTAACGTAATCTGAATACTTTGGATTACTTGATATTGTCGTGCTTTTTAAAACGACATGAATGTAACGACCACATCCTGAAAGTTCTTGTTTGTTTGAGCCCAAGTCTCCATGAACAGGTCATTTTTTGCTGTAGAAAAGCAAAGACGAGGAAATCTGAACATAAGTTATTTTATCTGCTAAAAGAAAATAAAAAGTCCAGTCTTTCCTTAACCATATTAAAAATATTATTGATAGAGAAATGATTTTTATATGAGATCACTGCTGCCTTCAGTTATGTTCACTCTACTGTTAGTGTCATATTGTTTATTTAAAAAAATAATAATAATAAATCACTTTCTGTACAAACAGAAAGGCGCCAGCCCAGTAAAAATCAGTAATATTGGATGTTTTTTACTCAAAATGATGCAGAATCAGATTCTTAACAACAACAGTTATTAACAACCTCGTCCACTGTGTGACTGACGCCACCAACGTGAACAAGACGTTTACGTGGCTTTTACCGCCGCCTTCTGTGTCCGACAGTGAGTGGAATTATCAAAATAAAACTAAAAAAATGGGAATATCCCAAAATGTGAAAACAGGAAAATACTGCCATGTAATCCATTTATTTTAACAAAGTAACTGTAATCCAATTGCCACTCACTGAAAGAGTAACTGTAACTGAATACAGTTACTCATCATTTGTACTCTGATTATGTAACACCTGTACATGTAATCTGTTACTCCCCAACACTGTTAGTTTGTTTACATCTTCAAAACTCTGACCTGCTCTTTTCCACCTTGTGATGTCATCAAGAGGTGGTTTTCAACTTCTCAACAGATTCTTTTACCTTTAGTTCAGTAGAGATCGGCGATTCCAGAGCCAAATTCATCAAAAATGATTCTAGTGAGTTTGCATAGAGTATAAAAAAAACACACATGACATCACAAGGTGGAACAGAGTAGGCCTAAATCAGGACTAAAGAAGATCTAAACCAGGTCTAAACTAGCACTAAACCAGGACTAAAGAAGATCTAAACCTGGACTAAACCAGGACTAAACTAGGACTAAAACTAGGACTAAACCAGGACTAAACCAGGTCTAAACCAGGACTAAAACTAGGACTAAACCAGGACTAAAACTAGGACTAAACTAGGACTAAAACTAGGACTAAACCAAGACTAAACCAGGTCTAAACTAGCACTAAATCAGGACTAAAGAAGATCTAAACCAGGTCTAAACTAGCACTAAACCAGGACTAAAGAAGATCTAAACCTGGACTAAACCAGGACTAAACTAGGACTAAAACTAGGACTAAACCAGGACTAAACCAGGACTAAACCAGGACTAAAACTAGGACTAAACCAGGACTAAACCAGGACTAAAACTAGGACTAAACCAGGACTAAACTAGGACTAAAATCAGGTCTAAACCAGGACTAAAGAAGATCTCAACCAGGACTAAACTAGGACTAAAACTAGGACTAAACTAGGACTAAAACTAGGACTAAACCAAGACTAAACCAGGTCTAAACTAGGACTAAACCAGGTCTAAACTAGCACTAAACCAGGACTAAAGAAGATCTAAACCTGGACTAAACCAGGTCTAAACCAGGACTAAAACTAGGACTAAAATCAGGTCTAAACCAGGACTAAACTAGGACTAAAACCAGGTCTAAACTAGGACTGCGACCCAACCCACATGACATCACAAGGTGGAACAGAGTGTTTTCTGTTTGAGAGAAGAAGAACTCATTGAACAAGTAATGTTTAGTTACTTGTTTCCTGCTGTAAGATGTGTGTAATCCACAGAACATTAAAACAGTGAGAAGATGAAGAGGAGCAGGTCCGTCTCTTGTGGAATTAAATCAAATCATCTGAACCAAAACACAAACATGTTTCAGGACTGAGGAGAACCACAGGACGTGTCTTTAATGACAGTTCAGGATTTTAGAAGACGGTTTGTAAACTCGATGTTTCCATTGTTTTCAGCACAAGTAGGTTTTTATTTTTAAAACGCTTTTCACAGACACGTGTCACAAAGAAGTGTTACAGATTATTATTCACTCACTCCAGACCCGGTGGTGTAAACTACTACTACAGCCACAGCTGCCCTGGGACAGACTGACAGAAGCGAGGCTGCCAATCTGTGCCGTCGACCCCTCAGACCAACATCACACACACACACACACACACAGACACACACACACACACACACACACACACACACACACACACACACACACAGACACACACACACACACACAGACACACACACACACAGACACACACACACACACACACACACACACACACACACAGCACACACACACACACACACACACACACAGACACACACACAGACACACACACACACACACACACACACAGACACACACACACACACACAGACACACACACACACACACACACACACAGACACACACACACACACACACAGACACACACACAGACACACACACACACACAGACACACACACACAGACACACACACACACACACACACACACACACACCTCTCTCATACCAGGCAAAGTGGGTGAAGTGCTTTGCCTAAGAACACAACAACAGAGTAATCAATAATCAAATTACCTTTTGAGATAAAGTAATCAGAGTAGTAATTAGATTACTCTTAGAACAAGTCATGGTTATCAGCCACACTGGTGTTGACCTATAGATCTTATTTAAAGGTTGTATGGAGGATTTTTTTTTTGTTTCAAATTGTCAATGAAAGTTTAAAATACCATTACAGAGACGCAGCAGCCTTGTAATTACGATGACCAAAAAAAAAAAAGAATGAAAATTTATCAACTGTGGACGTGTTGAGGCCAGATAAACATCAGCCAATAGAAAACGAGGCTGCCTCTTTACCTATTGGCTGTCAGGTTGTCAATCAAACTCCCTACGTTTCTAGTGTAATTGACTCATCGGGATGCAGGGATCACGTGGTTTATTGCAGCGGTTCTTAGAGGCTTTTTCAAACTGTCACTTCCTCACAAAGTTTGTTGCGATGGCGGACGAGAATCCACGACCAGTTCGCCGCAAAAGAAAGTCGGTTCTTGAGGTCGCTGAAAGAAGAAGAGAAGGGGAAAAGGAGCGAAGACAAACCGAGGTGATTCTTGGAGATTCCTTCCAGCGATTGCGCGAGTGAAGCGGACGAAGGGTCTAAAAACTCGCATGCACAACATTTGTAAAAGAACTGTCGCTGTATTTCTTTTCCCTTAAAAAAATCCTCTATACAACCTTTAACATTTGTAGTAAACTAGATTTAAAAAAAAAAAAAAAAGTCCTAAAAATTCTAATTATGTTAAGTGAAAATCTGATTGTCAATAAATCCCACGATTCATCAAAATCTTTTTAAGTACAAGATTGGAGAGTTTGGTGTTTGTATCTGCAGTCAAAGTACTACATGGTCACATTTTTCTACAGCGCTTTTCCACCTTCAAGACACTCAAAGCTGCTTTACAACAAGGAACCACTCACACATTCACACACACATTCACACACACATTCACTCACCAGTGCACACAGACACTGTGGGCAAGGTGGGTTAAGTGTCTTGCTCAAAGACACAACGACAGCATTCATCTGTGGGAGCTGGAATCACACCAGCTCCTGTGGGTCAGTGGATCTGACGCTCAACCTGTGATGTTTATGTCGAGAGCTGGAATCAAACCACCAACCTTCAGATCAGTGGGCGAATGCTCCACCAACTGAACTACTGCTGCTAGAAGTTCAGCTTGGCCAAAGTATTGAAAATCAGATTATTATTATTATTGTTTATTATTATTGTTTATTGTTATTGTTATTAATTGTTTGTTTATTTTATTATTGTTTGTTATTAATGTTGTTGTTGTTATTGTTGTTGTTGTTATTATTATTGTTGTTATTATTATTGTTATTATTATTGTTGTTATTATTATTGTTGTTGTTATTATTATTATTATTATTATACTGATCCTCGTCTGCTCCTCTGTTCAGGAAATACAATATTCTGACAATATTTAATGTGAACATATGTTGTATTTGTTCATGTATAAATATGTGCATTTGTCAAATGTTTGACTCAGATCTTTTGACACTTTTTCATGTTCACACCTGAACTACGAGACACTGCAGAGACGTTTATCTTCCCTTGTGCACAACTTCCACGAATCAAAGAACACTCAAGTTCAGAGGAATCATTTAGCAAATACTCTCAAATCTATTTCCTCACTGGACTATTTTAAAAGACAATTAAGACAATCAATCAATTTCCTGACTTTTGCCTGTCAAATGTTGTGTTAATTAAATATCTGGGGCAGATCATGACCGCGGACATGACAGATGATGAGGATGTGTACAGACAGTGTAGGACGACGCTCTGTGCTCAGGCAAATACCCTCATGCGTATGTTTGGTTCTTGTACAAATGATGTAAAGTTGTTATTGTTTAAATCTTACTGTTCACCGTTGTACAGTTCACCTCTGGACTCATTATAAAAAAGCCAGTTTGCAAAGACTGCAGGTGTTTACAATGACGCTTTACGGAGCTTTTGAGGAGCCACGATGGACGAGTGCGACTGAAATGTTTGTTTCTGCTCGAGTGAAACTTTGCAAGCTGCACTAAGAATTTTAATGTACAGTTTTATGTGCAGACTGAACAAATCAGACAATGAAATAATAATGTCACTCACAAATCTGAGATCAGTGCAATAAGGTGTCAGTCCAACATGTGGAGACACTGGTGAGGTCGTCTTTTAAAAACATGAATGTTGATTGTTTTGTATTGTCACTGTCCTTGTCTGTTTTTTAAATGGACCGAGTCCGGAATAAAGAAGATGATGATGATGATGATGATGATGATGATGATGAGAGGAGGAGAGGAGGAGGAGGAGGAGGAGGATGATGAGGAGGAGGATGAGGAGGAGGAGGAGGATGAGGAGGAGGATGAGGAGGAGGAGGAGGAGGATGATGAGGAGGAGGAGGAGATGAGGAGGATGAGGAGGATGAGGAGGATGAGGAGGATGAGGAGGAGGATGAGGAGGAGGATGAGGAGGAGGAGAGATGATGAGGAGGATGAGGAGGAGGATGATGAGGATGAGGATGAGGATGAGGATGATGAGGAGGAGGAGGAGGATGAGGAGGATGAGGAGGATGAGGAGGATGATGAGGAGGATGAGGATGAGGAGGAGGAGGATGATGAAAGGATGAGGAAGGAGGATAGGAGGATGAGGATGAGGAGGATGAGGAGGAGGAGGATGAGGAGGATGAGGAGGAGGATGAGGAGGAGGATGAGGAGGATGAGGAGGATGATGAGGAGGAGGAGGAGGAGGAGGATGATGAGGAGGAGGAGGATGAGGAGGAGGATGAGGAGGATGAGGAGAGGATGATGAGGAGATGAGGAGATGAGGATGAGGAGGATGAGGAGGAGGAGGATGAGGAGGAGGATGAGGAGGAGGATGAGGAGGAGGAAAGGAGGATGAGGAGGATGAGAGGAGGAGATGAGGAGGAGGATGAGGAGGATGAGGAGGATGATGAGGAGATGAGATGAAGGATGATGAGAGGATGAGGAGGAGATGAGGAGGAGGAGGATGAGATGAGGAGGAAGATGAGGAGATGAGAGATGATGAGATGAGGAGGATGATGAGGAGGATGAGGAGATGATGAGAGGATGAGAGAGGAGGATGAGGAGATGAGAGGAGGAGGAAGATGATGATGAGAGATGATGAGAGATGATGAGAGGATGATGAGGATGATGATGATGATGAATCATTGATTTGTGATGCTATTTAATATTTGGAGAACTGATATTCAACTTGTCTGTTCATGACTGTTGTGATAAAATCATGTTTATAGGGGACATGATCTGTTTTTAATATATGTGCAAATAAAATCTTTCTATCCTAAAACTTTATCCTCATTTTTCACAGGTATCGATACTAAAAAAAAGTCATTCACAGGACAGAGCAGAACCTTTCCTGAACGTGTTTAGAAAGATCTGGAGCTGAATCAGAGCGAGTATAAAAGCGCAGAGACTAGAACACACTCATGGACCTGGTTTGGTTTAGACCTGGTTTAGACCTGGTTTAGACCTGGTTTAGACCTGGTTTAGACCTGGACCTGGAGGGATCACACAAACATAAGGACACACGGGAACAGAAAAAGCTGAAAATCACGTTCTGTTGTTTAAACAAAGAGTAAATAAAGAAACAGGTCATTTTCTAAACCGTTCATTTTATTGCCACACACAAATATGAAACATCTTTAAAGGCTCTTTCATATAAACTTTACCTGAAAAAATAGAGCAATTTATTCCTTACACTTCAACAACATCATTTTCTGTAACTGAGCAAACAGCGCCGCCTGCAGGCTTCCAGTGCAATTACAACTGCCTCTAACACACACTCACCAAAAACAGAAAGACAGACTTAAGACGATCAGCGTTATCTGAGGAAAGCTTGAGGATTTGAGTATTTACAGTGGCTCCTGTCAAATTTAATCAAGGTTTTCAAAATAATAACGGCGTCAAAATGTGATTAGATCAACCACAAAGAGGAACTACGGAGGTTCCAGACGGAGTATTTGACTTTTATGGGGTAATGACTGTAACACGTCACATATTCAGATCAACCATGTTCCCTTTTATTGTTTTGAAAATGATATATTCGCCAAAAAACAATGTATTCTCTCTGCGCTAAGTCCCTCCCCCTTCAGAGCTCTATCACAACACAGTCACGTCGGGTTTGTCCAGTCGCAGTGAACAGTTTTACATCATGTTTTCGTAGATTTATGGAGAATTGTCGTGTGGGAACATGGGGGACGTAGACTTGTGGGCGGGTTTGAATAGGGCCGAGAGAGATCACTAGATGACTCAAACATGCATGGATGATTTTAAAACCTCGTCAGAGATTTTTTTGATGAGGGAACAACGTTAGAACATAGACAAAAGCTTAAAAAAAGAAATAAATAAAGAATGCCTCCTCTTTAAATTTTAAATAAAAACTCAGTAATTATTCAGTAGTTTTCTGGAATTTTCTTTTCGGCCAGTCTGTCAGTGCGGTCTAATGTACCAGATTCATGAGTGGTCAGTAGAGTTGAGTAATATTTACTGGGTCCACCAAACCTCTTAAGTTCCATCCTGACGGTTTCCATAAGGCTCTGGCTGAAAAATCATTAAACATATTTATATATCATTTATAATTATAATTATAATTATTATAATTGTTATTATTATTAGTTTATTTTTAATAATAATTGCTTATTCAAGGTCCTTGAAGTCCCAAAGAAATTACACTTTTGCCATATCTCAGAAACTAATGACGATAGAGACAAAACTGATACCAAATGATCCACAAAGTCCATGTTTATATTTAACTTCCATTGATAAAATGTTTCAAAAAGCAAATGATGCTGCCTACTGGTCCGTATGCCGTCAGATCATTCTAATAATTATGATTTAATTTGAGTTTAGTTCATCAATTTAAAAGGAACAATGTGTAACTTTTCTGGTCTGGTCTCCATGGAGATGTTGTTGCTTTAACTAGAATGTTCCACCGTTCGGAAATGCAAACTTGAATTTCCCTCAGGATCCATAAAGTTTATGTCCGTCTGTCTTAAACGGAAGCCCTGAGCAGCAAGAGAAAAACAAATAAAGCATGTCATTGAGGCTGTTTTTTGTTTTGTTTTGTTTTTTTTGTACCAACAACTCTAAACAAATTTTCTTCTTTTTTTTCCTAAAAATAAAAATAACAAATTCCAAATATATACATTTATTTATATATATAGTCTTTGTTTTATCATCAACATTATTATTTTCCAAATAAAAAATAATAAATAAAATATATATATATATATATATATATATATATATATATAGTCTTAAATTTTTATTATTATTATTTTTTCAAAAATGCTTAATGCTTTTTTTTTTTCTCTTGCCGCTCAGGGCTTCAGTATAAACTTGTCTGTCTTGCATTTATTCATATGTTCAAATACAAAAATCAAAAATACCCTGACCAACCTGCATTCTTTCTGTGCGTGGGGTCGCCTCTCCACAGATCTGAACTGTAACCTAGTGTGAAACATTCCAAGCAAAGCAGAAACCATGGAGACAAGCAGGAGGTTAAACTCGATACCAGAAAAGTGACACCGTGCTGCTTTAAATAATGATACTGTCCAGAATAATGAGACCAAATCCATGAGTGGAGAGGGCTGTGGTTACTGTTATTAGCCTGATTTGAAGCTCCTCCTCATGCAGGGAACAGACACAGTGAAGGTTTAAACTGGAGCCCAGGGTCACGTGTCTTCAGACAAAATCTCCCTGAAGTTCTGCAGCTCCCTGATGCTCGTGGAGATCCTAAAAAAACAAAAGACGAAATTATAAAAATATGTAATGTAACCAGAATTTAAAGTTTGTAAAGTTTTTTTCCTACTAAACCAGGACTAAACCAGGTCTAAACCAGGTCTAAACCAGGTCTAAACCAGGTCTAAACCAGGTCTAAAGCAGGACTAAACCAGGTCTAAACCAGGTCTAAACCAGGACTAAACCAGGTCTAAACCAGGTCTAAAGCAGGTCTAAACCAGGTCTAAACCAGGACTAAACCAGGTCTAAACCAGGTCTAAACCAGGACTAAACCAGGTCTAAACCAGGTCTAAACCAGGACTAAACCAGGTCTAAACCAGGTCTAAAGCAGGTATAAACCAGGTCTAAACCAGGACTAAACCAGGTCTAAACCAGGTCTAAACCAGGACTAAACCAGGTCTAAACCAGGTCTAAACCAGGTCTAAACCAGGACTAAACCAGGTCTAAACCAGGTCTAAACCAGGTCTAAACCAGGTCTAAAGCAGGTCTAAACCAGGTCTAAACCAGGTCTAAAGCAGGTCTAAAGCAGGTCTAAACCAGGTCTAAACCAGGTCTAAACCAGGTCTAAACCAGGACTAAACCAGGACTAAACCAGGTCTAAAGCAGGTCTAAACCAGGACTAAACCAGGACTAAACCAGGTCTAAAGCAGGTCTAAACCAGGACTAAACCAGGTCTAAGCAAGTTAAGTTTAAATCAAGACAAATGGTGTGTCCAGTCCATGCTTTTTTGGTCCTGGTTTTAGCCTGGTTTTGCATACAAATGTGGACTTGGTCTAGTCCTGGTTCAGTCCCAGTTTTGATGAGGTGATTGTGCAAGTGTGAACACGGTCTAAACCAGGACTAAACCAGGACTAAACCAGGTCTAAACCAGGACTAAACCAGGTCTAAACCAGGACTAAACCAGGACTAAACCAGGTCTAAACCAGGTCTAAACCAGGACTAAACCAGGTCTAAACCAGGACTAAACCAGGACTAAAACTGGGTCTAAACCAAGTCTAAACCAGGACTAAGGTCTAAACCGGACTAAACCGGGACTAAACCAGGTCTAAATCATGACTAAACCAGGACTAAACCAGGTCTAAACCGGGACTAAACCAGGACTAAACCAGGTCTAAACCGGGACTAAACCGGGACTAAACCAGGTCTAAATCATGACTAAACCAGGACTAAACCAGGTCTAAACCAGGTCTAAACCGTGACTACACCGGGATTAAACCAGGACTAAACCAGGACTAAACCAGGTCTAAACCGTGACTAAAACTGTGATCTAAACCAGGACTAAACCAGGACTAACCGGGTCTAAACCAGGTCTAAACCAGGTCTAAAACCAGGACTAAACCGGGACTAAACCAGGACTAAACCAGGTCTAAACCGGGACTAAACCGGGACTAAACCAGGTCTAAATCATGACTAAACCAGGACTAAACCAGGTCTAAACCAGGTCTAAACCGTGACTAAACCGGGATTAAACCAGGACTAAACCAGGACTAAACCAGGTCTAAACCGTGACTAAACCGTGATTAAACCAGGACTAAACCAGGACTAAACCAGGTCTAAACCAGGTCTAAACCAGGTCTAAACCAGGACTAAACCAGGTCTAAACCAGGACTAAACCAGGTCTAAAGCAGGTCTAAACCGGGTCTGATCCAGGTCTAATCTGGGACTAAACCAGGTCTAAACCAAATCTAAAGCAAATCTAATCAAGATCTAAACCAGGTCTAATCCAGGTTTAACTGTCACTAAACCAGATCTAAACCGGGTCTCAACCAGGACTAAACCGGGTCTAAACCAGATCTAAACCGGGTCTGTAGTGGGTCCGTACCGTCCGAAGGCGTTGATGAGGGCCACCAGTTCTTGTCTGTTGAGCGTGAGCGGAGACGAGGGCGACGAGAACAGGATCTTCAGAGCCGTGCCCAAACCCTGAGTCTGCAAAAGGTCAAAGGTCAAAGGTCAAGTCATTATTTTAAGACCTGATCCTGAGTCGGGTCAAAGTGAAAACCCTGGATTACCACAAATAACGACGTCACACGGACCACGTTTACATGATGTTTTTAAATTCCAAATTAATTGTTCTGAATTAAATAGTTCATCATTAAAATCCTCTCCTTGGATTTTACATTTAAATAATAATTCAAATTTAAGGTTTACATGATTATGTAATGTTTATGTTTATTTAATTAGTCTCAGCGTCTGGGGGCGGGAAAGGGTCTGATTGTGCAAGTGTCAACATGGACTAAACCAGGTCTAAACCAGGTCTAAACCAGGTCTAAACCAGGACTAAACCAGGACTAAACCAGGTCTAAACCAGGTCTAAACCAGGTCTAAACCAGGTCTAAACCAGGACTAAACCAGGTCTAAACCAGGACTAAACCAGGACTAAACCAGGTCTAAAATCCAGGTCTAATCCAGGACTAAACCAGGTCTAAACCAGGTCTAAACCAGGACTAAACCAGGACTAAACCAGGTCTAATCCAGGTCTAATCCAGAACTAAACCAGAATTAAAAAAGGTCTAAACCAGGTCTAAACAAATACTACGCCAGGACTAAAGCAGGACTAAAGCAGATCTAAACCAGGTCTAAACCAGGACTAGACCAGGACTAGACCAGGACTAGACCAGGACTAAACCAGGACTAAACCAGGACTAAACCAGGTCTAGACCAGGACTAAACCAGGACTAAACCAGACCTAAACCAGGTCTAAACCAGGTCTAAACCAGGACTAAACCAGGACTAAACCAGGACTAAACCAGGTCTAAACCAGGTCTAAACCAGGTCTAAACCAGGACTAAACCAGGACTAAACCAGGTCTAAACCAGGTCTAAACCAGGACTAAACCAGGTCTAGACCAGGTTAAGACGGTTCTGATCATTATATTTCAGATTTCACTCATCTCTATGGAGACAGCCCACCATATAAAGTTACACACTGTGCCTTTAAGTCCCGCAGTCGTTCTTTTTACCTGCAGTTTCCCCCACAGACGACACTTGAAGCACTCCACACAGTCCATGATCCGCGAGATGTTGAGGAAGGCGAGGCGCACGTCCTCCTGCAGACACCACAGGTCAGCGTGAGCTCAACAAACCCTCACGTCGCACACACATTATTTTCTTTATTGATGTGATAAAGTTCTGTGGTGGGACCTTGAGTTTGGCCGCCTCCCTCTCGTCTCCAGCGAACAGAGACGTTTCATTGAAATGCAGCGGGAAAGATCTGTGAAGAAAGAAGAATTAGTCACAACAACGGACTGTTATTCTGCATCTGTGTTATTATTACAGGTGTTTGCCCGTCTCACTCCCAAATACTTCTTATTCACGGTTATAAAAAGGTACGATTTTTTACTGATACTTCAAGCTTCACTGTAATTGGTTAAATCAGACATGGCAAACTCAGGCTCGGGGGTCAAATTTGGCCCACAATGTAATTATATTTGGCCCATGAGGCAAAGTAAGGCAAGTTTATTTGTACAGCACAATTCATACACAAAGTAATTCAAAGTGCTTTACAGAATAAGAAATACATTAAAATCATAATAAAAACTAATCAAAACATAAATAATATTAAAATTAAAAAAGAGAGACATAAATTGGAGAGAAGAGTGCGGAATGAAAACCTTTCAGTTATTTGCACAGTTAAACAGAAATGTTTAGAGTCTGGATTTAAACAGCGTCACAGAAGAGTCTGTCTCACATGTTCAGACTGTTCCAGGTTTTAGCTGCATGAACCTGAAACTCTGACTCCCCTTGTTTAGTCGTGACTCTGGCACCAGCAGGAGTTGGTCCCTGAGCTCCTCAGAGTGTGAGATGTTCATATGACACTAACATGTCACAGATGGACTTTGGTGCTCGGCCGTGGAGACACTTGTACAAACAGAGCTGCTTTAAAGTCTCTGAGCCACAGGAGCCAGAGCAGAGACCTGAGACCAGGACTTATGTGCTCGTACTTCCTAGTTCGAGTCAGGACCCGAGCTGCAGCGTTCTGGATGTTCTGGATGTTCTGGATGTTCTGCAGCGTCTCACAGCTCGTTTGGAGAGACCAGTGAGCAGAACATTACAGTGTCTAACCTACTGGAGACAAACGCATGGGTAAGTTTCTCTGATTTAGTCTGATTTAGACAGTAGATCATATCAAATCTGTATTAGAGCTGCCCGCCGACTGCAGATAGAGTATAGAGACATTATTTATTTAAGATTTTGTTATTATTTTATATTCTGTTTGTTCTGGATTCAGTGTTTAAACAAAACTATTATTATACATTTATTTTAATAAGAAAATGTTTAACATTACATATCTCGAAAGAAGAGAAAACATGCAGATGTTGCTAAAATTTTTCAATAAATATTGAGTTTGGCCTCTGTGAATTTGAGTTTGACTCCCCTGAGTTAAATCCACCCGTCTCTGCCTCAGAGCCTGACAGAGGCTGAGCAGGACGAGTGGGAGGGGCAAAGTGTCGGTTTGAGCCACAGAACTATAATAACTTCTGAAGGTGAACTTGGGTGTCCAGACGTTCCGAAAAATTCAGGACAGTCAAACAGAATACTGAGTAGTTATTTTCTGATAAACAATAAAAACTGTTTGTCGAGAGCCCCTGACGACTTCTAGACGCTCTGTTCACAAGACGTAGATTTCGCCTCCAGGAAGAGCGTCTGACTGAAGGCGCAGGCAGACAGGACGCCGAGTGGAGAGCAGAGGGGAGACGGTGAGGTGGAGTATCGGCGACGTGCGGTCAGGAGAGGCAGGTGAGGCAGAGCCACAACCACAATCCCCCGACATCATGGAGTTTAGCATTTGTCTTTAATGCGGACGCTCCGGGTTCAAGATTCTGATTTGTCGTTTACATTTTTATTTATTTTCTTCTTTTTTCCATTTGTGTGTAAACCAAATCATTTATTAAAACTCAGTGTTTTTATTAGTTCATGTGATTTTTGTTTGTTTGTAAAGAAAAGCAACTTAGAACGCATCGGCATTTTTGAGCCTCCACTTCGGCTGAAATTCGGCGTGCGGGGGAGGGGTCATCTCATCTGGTCACCTTAAGATGAACCCAAGATGGCATTGTATTGGTAATTTTCTTTCAGCATTTACTTTCTCCCACCCGTGTGACGTCGGTAATGTGCACGGCGTGGAGCGTTTGGACCTGTTAGAGCGAGAGAACTTTTAGGCGCTTTGAGGATTTTAAAAAAAATGTTTAAAGTTTATGTTGTAAAAATAGAAAAGAATCCTACAAAATCCAACTTTTGTGAAAGCCGGATGCCTTTTCAGAACACGGGCAGTTTAAATTCCCAAAATGCACTGCGCTCTCTGTGGGAGAAATCTTTCTGGGCCCAAACTCCCGGAGCTGCAGTACCTGGAGTGACCACTAGAGGGGTTTTATTACAGATCCATGGTTTGAAGACAGAGCTGCATTAAACAGTATATACAGTAAACAGAAGACTGCCCCCTGCTGGCTGAGACTGACCGTGCGGTGTGCAGTATCTCCAGCAGCAGCTCCTTGTTGCGCCGGTCGTCCTGGGGCTGTCCCGTGTAAAGCCTGAAGGACCCCTCTTTCACGACGGGCAGAGCTTTGGCCAGCGCCCGCAGCTCGATCAGGAACAGGAAGTACAGGTTCCTCAGGCGCTTGGGCCCCTCCCCCTCCGTCAGCTCCGAGTCGAACCGCAAACGAAACTCCGTCACGTTTGGACCCCACGTCTTCTCAAACCACACGTCTGAAATCACGGAAAGAAACACATTTTTAATATTACTGAAGAACACTGAGACACCGAAGCTCAGCGTGTCATGTTTTATTTTAAAAAAGGTATGTAAATATGTTGTACCTCAGGAAAAACAGTCTCTACCTTTGTTAAGACTAATAAGAATTGAATAAATAAATAAAATACGAAGAATAGTGATTTTAGATTCCATAAACATGATCAAACTGTGTTCCCAGATACGAGGTAAACCTGTTCAAATCAAATATATTTTAATTTATTTATTCAAATCACAAAACTATTGGACCTGATGAACATTTATTTCTCTTAGAATTTGGTGTTTCGGTTCGATTCTTTCAAAATTAAAACACGGTCCCACTTTAACTGTATGTTTTAATAGTATTTAACTTGTTTATGTTGTTGTAAGGCCTAAGAAATCAAGTGTATTATTAAACGTATATGGAATTCTGGAGGTTCTGAGTGTTCGCATGAGGCCTGAACATAAACTGAGAATGAGACAAACGCAGGACGTGTCTGTGTGTCTCTGTCTGCAGGTGAAGGATCTGGAGACGCAGGGTCACATCTGACTGTTATCGCTTTGAAAACAGTATTAGCACAGGATTCATACCGTATTTTTCGGACAATAAGTGGCACTTTTTTCATGGTTTGTGTGTTTCCTGCGACTTATTCTCCCGTGCGACGAAAATATATTTTAAAAGAGCTGAGCTTTTGAGCTGAGAGCTTGGAGAGGTCTCAGTCAGTTAGTTCAGTCTTGTGTCAGTGAGTAGTCTGCTGAATCCTGTTTTAAACACAAATCTGAAAAAACGAATCGTACACACTCCTGCACCACTGTCACTTGGCTCTACTGCGCATGTCTCCTGCAGAAAGAGCCTCTGTCCTGTCTGTGTCATGTCAGTCGATCGCACCGTTACTTCTGCACCACTGAACAATTTAACATTTAAACTTTAAACTTATAAAGACTGAGAAGACTGAACACAAATGCCCCAAAAACAAAATCAGATTCTGTAGATTTACAAACTGCAAGTCGAGAAATCTGCAGCTGAAAACGGAAATCGAGCAGCAGAAAGAAAGTTTGGAGTGAGAGAGAAACTCCGGGAGGATGCACCATGAAACTTTCCTGAAGTCACTGGATGGATGGACAAAGCCTGGACTTCAGTGACACCGAAACCATCCTGTCGGGATTCAGAAAGACCCGAATAATTCTAACTAATCGGCGCTCTGTTTACCTCCGGAGGTCGAGGAGTTGTTCAGAAGTGACACCGAGGATGAAGAATTGAATGGATTTAGTGATTTGGAGTGAGACGGAGAGTTTGTTAAACTTGTTCTGTTCTGTTGTTTATGTTATAGTTTATCTGAAGAACTGTTCATATGTGACGTTAACAGTCTGTTGTTCTTCTCTTCTGTTGTTTTTACTACAACTTGACTTTACACAGGAAATGTCTGCTCCTGGTCTCTGATTTTATAAAATACATTTCCCCCAAAAAGTGCCACTTCCATGTTTTTTTCTTCTTCATTACATATTTTTTGGCTGGTGCGACTTATACTCCAGAGTAGGGATGGACATGATTAGTCAATTAATCGATAATAGATCATTAAGAATTTCGTCGATTACGTTCATTTTTAATCGACAAACCGAATGTAGGTTTCTGTGCGTCCTGTGTTCCACTGAGTCGTGTCCTTTAATCCGACACAAGTTGAACCGCACCAGCGACACAAGAGCTATTTTTTCTTCGCTTAGTTTATGCAAATTAGTCACGTGGTTTTAAGTTTTGTTTCTGTGAGATTTGAACAAAACTGAATTTAACACATTATAATGTCAAACAGCTGATGTGGCTCTAGAGTCGTTATGTTTATATGTCGTAAAGTTGAATTTATTTATGCAGATTAGTGCAGATAGTAATAATAATGATGATCATTTTAATATAAAAACGTTAATGATTAATTGATAATCGGTCGTTAATTCTCCCGACAATCGATTAAGAAAATTTTATTGAATGCCCGTCCTTATTCCAGAGCGACTTATAGTGCGAAAAATACGGTACTGTTCCTTAAAGGTTGTATGGAGGATTTTTTGTTTGTTTCAAATTGTCAGTGAAAGTTTAAAACACCATTACAGAGACGCAGCAGCCTTGTAATTATGATGACCAAAAAAAAAAAAAAAGAAAATCTATCAACTGTGGACGTGTTGAGGCCAGATAAACATCAGCCAATAGAAAACGAGGCTGCCTCATTTTCTATTGGCTGTCAGGTTGTCAATCAAACTCCCTACGTTTCTAAGGTAACTATGCAGCGGGTCTTAGAGGCTTTTTCTAATTGTGGCTCTCGCAGTTCGCATAAAGTTTGTTGCGATGTCGGACGAGAATCCACGACCAGTTCGCCGCAAAAGAAAGTCCGTTTTTGAGGTCGCTGAAAGAAGAAAAGAGAAAAGGAGCGAAGACAAACTGAGGTGATTCTTGGAGATTCCTTCCAGCGATGGCGCGACTGAAGCGGACGAAGGGTCTAAAAACTGAGGTGTCGGTCTCTAAATTATTTCTAGAGGCTGTGGAGGAGGAAGGTGGTGTCACGCATGCACTACATTTGAAAAAGGACTGTTGCTGGATTTCTCTTTCCTTAAAAAAATCCTCTATACAACCTTTAAGTTAATATAAAAATAATCCAGTAAAACTAATTCAGCCTTTCTCACACTTGTGTTGCATTTGTATCATTGTTAGTGTGTCCAGACGTCTCTATTTACCCGAGACAGTCCCAGTTTTGAGCCCTGTGTCCACTATTCCAGCAGATTTAAACAAAACTCGTGATTTGTCCCAGTTTTATACAAGAAACGTCCCACGTGTCCCTATTTTTGACCAAATTATTACCTGCCAACAGTAAAGAGACGCATACGTTGACATTTGTTTAGGTAAAATACAGAAAAGCCGCTTAAAAACGACGAAAACACAAAGAAAACGTGGCGATACCGACTCACATGTTGGTCGTGAATGGTCTCTGCAGGACAATTCTCCTTAATTACTCACTCGTTTCACAATTTATTATCGCCAACCACCAAAAGAACCAGGGGAGTCCCAGTGTTTTATTTAGAAATTCTGTTCACCAAGCCCAGCCGTAGCGTTCGTACCGTTGAGCAGGTATCTGGCGCTCAGGTGGATGTTGATGGAGGCGTGGAGTCCGGAGATGAGCCGATAGAACGCCCTCTTCTCCACACACTGGCCTGAACACAAACACAACAAAAAGAAAAAGTCAAAAAAGTCGCTTCGGGTTCAAATTTAAAAGGTGCACTGTGCAATTTTTTGGTACGGATTAATTTTCCCTTTTCAGAAAACGTGCAGCTCTAAGATAGAAATTAAACCAGGACTAAACCTAGAACCAAATCAGGTCTAAACCAGAACTAAACCAGGACTAAACCAAGGAAACCAAGGACAAAACCAAGTCTAAACCAAGGTCTAAACCACGACTAAACCCAGAACCAAAACCAGGACTAAACCTAGAACCAAATCAGGTCTAAACCAGGTCTAAACCAAGGTCTAAACCAGGACGAAACCAGGACTAAAACAAGGACTAAAACAAGGACTAAACCAGGACTAAACCAGAACTAAAACAAGGACTAAATCAGGACTAAACCAAGGTCTAAGCCAGGATTAAACCAGGACTAAACCTAGAACCAAATCAGGTCTAAACCAGAACTAAACCAGGACGAAACCAGGACTAAAACAAGGACTAAACCAGGACTAAACCAGGACTAAAACAAGGACTAAACCAGGACTAAACCAGAACTAAAACAAGGACTAAATCAGGACTAAACCAAGGTCTAAGCCAAGGTCTAAACCACAACTAAACCCAGAACCAAACCAGGACTAAACCTAGAACCAAATCAGGTCTAAACCAGGTCTAAACCAAGGTCTAAACCAGGGACTAAACCAAGGTCTAAACCACGACTAAACCCAGAACCAAACCAGGACTAAACCAAGGACTAAACCAAGTAGTAAACCAGGTCTTAACCTGGAACCAAACCAGGTCTAAAAAATGTTTTAAGTAAGAAAAATGTCAGTCCTACAGCTGCAAGCGGTAAAACAGATGAGTATTTACTGCAGCACTTCACTGTGACCTGCAGGGGGCGCTCTGCTGAGAAACATGAAGCAAATACACAGAAACACAAAGTTTTATCTAGTCCCTCCCTCTCACCTTCCAGCCACGTGTAGAAGGTCCTCACTGCAAAATAAAAACAAACTCATCAGAATAAAATTTAAGAAGTGAAAATATTTTTTAAAAAAACTAAAACCTTTTTTTTTTTTACCGTCAGAGCTGCTGCTGCGGCTGTGGGCGGGGCTCAAGGGCCTCTGCACCGAATACGGCCTGAGGAGGAAGAGTTAAAATACAGTCAAATATAAGAACAGGACTAAACCAGGACTAAACCAGGACTAAACCAGGACTAAACCAGGTCTAACCCCTCTCTAGTCCAGACTGATCTCTTTCTTACTTGAAGCAGTTCTCCTCGTAGATGCTGGTCCAGATCCTCCAGGCCTCTGGGCCCTTGTACCCGGTGAACCTCTCCGGGTTCAGCAGCAGATCCACGAACTCTGAGTCTGGAGCGCCCTCATCTGGACAACACCGGGACAACAGGGATAATACAGGACAACAGTGAGAAAATGGATAAAATAAATCTGGGGTATTCAATGAAGTGAGGCTTGTCAGTTCAGTTCTGACCAGAGGTGACCTGAGTTACCGCATTAACAAGCACCCGGAAACAAACCTGGTCAGGACCAGACTAAGTGTCAAGATTATCTTAGCTTTGTCTCCAAGAACGTCTAAAGAAACAGTTTAGTCAAAAGTTTCAGCTCGTGCATCACACACCTGTGTGAGAAGAACACCTGTCTCTGTGTGATACAGTTTAAAAAGTGACTTCTGTAGTCATGTGTCAGTAGAGACTTTTACAGACCATACGCTCCTACACACGGGACACACGGGACACACGCGGGGACACACGGGACACACACGGGACACACGGGACACACGGGACACACACGGGTGGGTGGACGCTGCTCATCACAAAGGCACAAATCATATAAAAGCCTATGGCCATTATTTAACTCTTTCCCCCCTGGACGCCTACTAGGAACAACCCATACATATGTTACTAGGGCTACACCCATAGAGCATAATTGCTTAAAAGAAAACAGACTTCCACAAGTGATTATAAATTAATTTTACACTCATGAACTTAATTGTAACACAGACATATTTGTATCTCTGGAAACCTTAGACTCTGAACTATTCATTTATGGATGTTTAAATGTGATTCAACTCATTTACAGGTTTATAACAGCTCACTGAAAATGAGAGTTTACCTGGTCAGGTGAAAAATTGAAAAAAAAAAAAAACTACATTCAGCATCTGATATCTGCATGTTCTGAGTACTATATTCATAAAAAAAAAAAAAAATATACTTTGTCAAAGTATTTAAACAGATTTCATATCACCAGATACAGTAAAGCCAAGTGTTCACCTGTTTTTACCTGTTTGTTCACCTGTGTGCACCCAATACATTTTTTTTCCAATTAACTTATTCAACTAATTCAGCTTATTATAATATAATAATATAATAATAAAACTCTTCCCCGTCAGTGTGTGTCCAGTATTTGTCATCTTGGTTATTTTCTCGTGTGCAGAGCTCCACATACGCGTTTTTTCTGTAGTGATTCTGTTATACGTCGCATTTTGGAAAAAAAAGACTGAAATATTTTAAAGGACTCACCTGGGCAACATCCAGATTTCAGGGCAATTTTGGTTCATAATCGAGTATAAAGCTCAGATAGTTTGTTTGGATACTGCAGGACTCCACACAGACGCATCAGCGGCATCTCACCTTCTCCCCGAAAGTCCGTCACTGTCGCTGTTTTCCACTTTATAATCAACTTCATCATCACTTTGAAATCTATAAAAGTCACTTTCTCTAAACTTATCCATAAAACACGTCCGCTCCTCATTATTTCTAAAACTGTGCGCCGCAGCATCGCGATCTTTCCATTGCACGTGTTTCGTGTTTGTGTTTTTCCGGAAGCTACCATCGTCACTATTTCGATTAACTTCGGAAAAAAATCGGTGAAAACATATCCTTGAATCCTATTGGTCAGTCTAGTGTGGGTTGTAGTGGCCCCACCAATCACAGCCTCTGTTTAAATGTGAAAAACCGAGCCGTTTCTAAAGGTCGTCAAGTCACGTCTTTAGTGAAACAGCGGAGGAGTCAAAAGTCGTCATTAAGGAAACAGGGGGGTCGTCAAATGTCGTCTTCATGGGGGAAAGAGTTAATGAAATGCTCCTGCACATGTGTCTGTTGTGAGGAGCAGTGCAGCTTTTCTTTCTTTTCTTCATTCCCTCATCTCTCGCTCTCTGTCAAACTGCAAACACCTTGCCGTGGATTTTATCGTTTCTTGCTCAGGTGCATGTGAAAAGTTCCGTTACAGCTTCACTTTTATGCACAGAGGAACTTAAGCTCCACACGTACGACGGCGCATCGGGAAGAGGTCGGGCAACTTCACTCCCCGGGCGCCAGACTCCAAACTCCACAGCCGCCTCCTCTCTGTCCACGGAGCGACCGGGAGAGAGGAGGAGGAGGAGTCGAGTCTTTCCTCTCGCTCCTCGGATCAGAAAGACCGGAATTTTCCGTCTTGTCCTTGCTCCATTGATATGACCTTCCCAGAGTCGCCGCGAGAGCATAAAGCACAAGGAACGACCTGAGGCTTAAACTGGAGCTGGAGCTGGAGATTCAGCTCAGGATTTCAAGATAAGCCTGGACTTGTTAAGTAACTTTGATGGAAACTCCCACTGGTCATGTCTCCTGTTTATAAACTCACCATTTTAGCGTGTGACAGTTCAATTAAAAGAACCATATTGCTTGTTTTAGATTTGTGACATCATGTAGAACAGAGAAAATAGCATAATATGGGCCCTTTAAACTAAAATCACTTCCTTTTGATTCTAAAAAATATCGTGTTGTCTGAGTTTTATTTCTTACAGTTCGATCGTGTTTTGAAAAGTCACAAATGTCGATAAACGGAACAGTGTGTGGGCGTCCGTACCGTCAAGAACACAGAAACGCTGAGCCTCGTCATCGTGTTTGGTCCAGTTCTTCAGCGCCTCTCTGGTCTCCTCACTGCAGGGGCAAAAGGCACAGGGGCAAAGGAACAGAGGCAAAGGGAACAGAGGCAAAAGGCACAGGGGGCAAAGGACACAGGAGGAAAGGACAGAGGAGGCAAAGGGAACAAGGAGGCACAAGGACAAGGAGGCAAAGGACACAGGAGGCAAAGGACACAGGAGGCAAAGGACACAGGAGGAAAGGACAGAGGAGGAAAAGGACACAGGAGGCAAAGGACACAGGAGGCAAAGGACACAGGAGGCAAAGGACACAGGAGGAAAGGACAGAGGAGGCAAAGGACACAGGAGGAAAAGGACAGAGGAGGAAAAGGACAGAGGAGGCAAAGGAACAGGAGGCGAAGGACACAGGAGGCAAAGGACACAGGAGGCGAAGGACACAGGAGGCAAAGGACACAGGAGGCAAAGGACACAGGAGGCAAAGGAGGCACAGAGGAGGCAAAGGACAGAGGCAAAGACACAGAGGCGAAGGACACAGGAGGCAAAGGAAAGAGGACACAGGAAAAGGAGGGAAAGGACAGAGGAGCAAAGGAACAGGAAAAAGGACACAGGAGGAAAGGACAGAGGAGGCAAAGGGAACAGGAGGCAAAGGGACACAGGAGGAGGAAACAGGGCAAAGGAACAGGAGGCAAAGGGACAGGAGGCACAAGGAGGCAAAGGGAACAGGAGGAAAGGACAGAGGAGGCAAAGGGAACAGGAGGAAAGGACAGAGGAGGAAAGGACACAGGAGGCAAAGGACACAGGAGGAAAAGGACACAGGAGGCAAAGGACACAGGAGGCGAAGGACACAGGAGGCAAAGGGAACAGGAGGAAAAGGACACAGGAGGCAAAGGACACAGGAGGCAAAGGGAACAGGAGGAAAAGGACACAGGAGGTGAAGGACACAGGAGGCGAAAGGACACAGGAGGCGAAGGACACAGGAGGCAAAGGACACAGGAGGCGAAGGACACAGGAGGCGAAGGACACAGGAGACAAAGGACACAGGAGGCAAAGGACACAGGAGGCGAAGGACACAGGAGGCAAAGGACACAGGAGGCAAAGGACACAGGAGGGCGAAGGACACAGGGAAAGGAAAGGAGGCAAAGGAACACAGGAGGAAAAGGACACAGGAGGAAAGGACACAGGAGGCAAAGGACACAGGAGGCAAAGGACACAGGAGGCGAAGGACACAGGCGAAGGAACAGAGGCGAAGGACACAGGAGGCAAAAGGACACAAGAGGGCAAAGGAACAGGAGGCAAAGGACACAGGAGGCAAGGGAACAGGAGGTGAAGGACACAGGAGGCAAAGGGAACAGGAGGAAAGGACAGAGGAGGCAAAGGACACAGGGGCAAAAGTCACAGGGGAAAAGGAAACAGGGGGCAAAGAGAATAGGGAAAAGGGGTACACGGGGCAAAAGGGAACAGGGGAAAAAGGAACAAGGGGCAAAGGACACAAGAGAAAAAGGGCACAAAAGGCAGAGGATAGAGGGGTAAAGGGCGCAGAGGGCAAAAAGCACAGGGGCAAAAGACACAGGGGGCAACGGACGCAGGGTAAGAGGGAAATAGGGGCAAAGGACACACAGGGCAAAGGACAGAGGGGAGAAAGGGCAAAGGGGACAAAGGGAACACGGAGGCGAAGGGCACAGGGGCAAAGGGAACGGGGGGGAAAAGGGAACGAGGGGCAAAGGGCACAGGAGGAAAACGGTACAGGAGGCAAAGGGGACAGGGGGAAAAAGGGAACAGGGGGCAAAGAACACCAGAGGCAAAGGTTATGAGATCAAATAAATATACTTTAGAATCCAGTGCAGTTCTTCTCTGTGGCCACCAGAGGGAGACACTGACCTGAGAGACACGTCCACCTTCCCGAGCTCCTCTGACCTCACACACTCGTCCGGATCAGAGTTGGCAGCTGCCGAATACTGCGCCACAAACAAACAAACAAACAAACAAAAGAACGTCTCTGTGAACGACTCACGAGTAAAAGCAGAACTCAGGCACGATTTAGATTTGATTCATTAAAAGATGCACTGTGTAACTTTTGACAAAACATGACTAGTGTGGGTTTTTTCATGACCAACGCCCATAAACTTCGATAAATAACAATATTTAGGGCCGATTTTGATTGTTTTCTCCAAATTATCTAATTAAAATTTGACTAAAAACTCACCCACAGCCCTTTTTTTTTTTTTTTTACGCGGTTTATTCACGCTTTGTGCCGTTATCTGTTCATGTTAAAGTGTTAAATAAAGCTTTGTGTTTATGGTCAGCAGGTTGGTCAAAACTAAACATCGCCCCCTGCTGGAGATGTAAAGGCGATGCGCTGAAAGGTGCATCGAGTAAAAGTAATAAATACATTTAAAAATATGTTTATTCACCTTGTTGTGGGCTTCACCTCGGATCCCCTCAGGCACCTCATTCTGAAAGAACACGGCAGATTATATTCACAAAATAAACCAGGACTAAACGAGGTCTAAAGCAGGTCTAAAGCAGGTCTAAAAGCAGGACTAAAGCAGGCAGGTCTAAAGCAGGTCTAAACAGGAGGTCTAAAAGCAGGTCTAAAGCAGGTCTAAAGCAGACTAAAGGACAGGTCTAAAGCAGGTCTCTAAAGCAGGTCTAAAGCAGGACTAAAGCAGGCACTAAAGCAGGTCTAAAGCAGGTCTAAAGCAGGCAGCAGGTCTAAAGCAGGTCTAAAAAACTAAAGCAGGACTAAAGCAGGTCTAAAAGCAGGACTAAAGCAGGTCTAAAGCAGGTCTAAAGCAGGACTAAAGCAGGTCTAAAGCAGGTCTAAAGCAGGACTAAAGCAGGACTAAAGCAGGTCTAAAGCAGGACTAAAGCAGGTCTAAAGCAGGACTAAAGCAGGACTAAAGCAGGTCTAAAGCAGGACTAAAGCAGGTCTAAAGCAGGACTAAAGCAGGACTAAAGCAGGACTAAAGCAGGTCTAAAGCAGGTAAAGCAGGACTAAAGCAGGACTAAAGCAGGACTAAAGCAGGTCTAAAGCAGGTCTAAAGCAGGTCTAAAGCAGTCTAAAGCAGGACTTAAAGCAGGACTAAAGCAGAGGTCTAAAGCAGGACTAAAAGCAGGACTAAAGCAGGTCTAAAGCAGGACTAAAGCAGGACTAAAGCAGGACTAAGCAGCAGACTAAAGGACTAAAGCAGGTCTAAAGCAGGTCTAAAGCAGGACTAAAGCAGGACTAAAGCAGGACTAAAGCAGGACTAAAAGGTCTAAAACAGGACTAAAGCAGGACTACACCCGGACTACACCAGGTCTAAAGAGGATTTAAAGGGGACTCACGGGGGAGCAGGGTTTCACCTGCACAGTCCCTGAGGCCACAGTGACTGTTGGACGTCCAGAAGGGACACGGTTTATTTAAATTCACCTTCACAAAAACAAGAAACAAACACAAACACTTTAAAAGAACAACACATCGGTTTGTTTTTCTAACACAAATCTGTCCATCCAGCCACCCAGACTCCTCCCTCCTCCTCCTCTCTCCCCTCCTCCCTCCTCCTCCTCTCCTCCTCCTCCTCCTCCCTCCTCCTCCTCTCCTCCTCCTCCTCCTCCTCCTCCTCCTCCTCCTCTCCTCTCTCTCCTCCTCCTCTCTCCCTCCTCCTCCCTCCTCTCCTCTCCTCCTCTCTCTCTCCTCTCTCCTCCTCTCTCCTCTCTCTCTCCTCTCTCTCCTCTCTCCTCCTCTCTCTCCTCTCTCCTCCTCCTCCTCCTCTCCTCCTCTCCTCTCTCTCTCCTCCTCCTCCTCCTCCTCCTCCTCCTCTCTCCTCTCTCTCCTCCTCTCCCTCTCTCCTCTCTCCTCCTCCTCCTCCTCCTCCTCCTCCTCTCTCCTCCTCCTCCTCCTCCTCTCCTCCTCCTCTCTCTCTCCTCTCTCTCCTCCTCCTCCTCTCCTCTCTCCTCTCTCCTCCTCTCTCCTCCTCCTCCTCCTCCTCCTCCTCCTCCTCTCCTCCTCCTCTCTCCCTCTCCTCCTCCTCCTCCTCCTCTCTCCTCTCTCTCTCCTCTCTCCTCTCCTCTCTCCTCTCTCCTCCTCTCTCCTCCTCTCCTCTCTCCTCTCTCCTCTCTCCTCTCTCTCTCTCTCTCTCCTCTCTCCTCTCTCTCTCTCTCTCTCTCTCCTCCTCTCCTCCTCCTCTCTCTCTCCTCTCTCTCTCCTCCTCTCCTCCTCTCTCTCCTCTCTCCTCTCTCTCTCCTCCTCCTCTCTCTCCTCCTCCTCCTCCTCTCTCCTCCTCTCTCTCTCTCTCTCTCTCCTCTCTCTCTCTCTCCTCTCTCTCTCTCTCCTCCTCTCTCCTCCTCCTCCTCCTCCTCCTCCTCCTCTCTCCTCTCTCCTCCTCTCTCCTCCTCCTCCTCCTCTCTCCTCTCTCCTCCTCCTCTCTCCTCTCCTCTCTCCTCCTCCTCCTCCTCCTCTCCTCCTCCTCCTCCTCCTCCTCTCTCCTCCTCTCCTCTCTCTCTCCTCCTCCTCCTCCTCCTCTCTCCTCCTCCTCTCCTCCTCCTCTCCTCTCTCCTCCTCCTCCTCCTCCTCTCCCTCTCCTCTCCTCTCTCCTCCTCCTCCTCCTCCTCCTCCTCTCTCTCCTCTCTCTCCTCCTCCTCCTCCTCCTCCTCCTCCTCCTCCTCCTCCTCCTCCTCCTCTCTCTCCTCCTCCTCCTCTCTCTCTCTCTCTCTCCTCCTCTCCTCCTCTCTCCTCCTCCTCCTCCTCCTCTCCTCCTCCTCCTCCTCCTCCTCCTCCTCCTCCTCCTCTCCTCCGTCTGTACCTTGTAGAACCTGAAGTAGTCCGTCTGCAGGAGGTTTTGGAGTTTGGGGAAGATCAGTTTGTTGTTGAAGCGGTCGATCGTTTCCACGTCACAGGTGCAGTCGTCCAGTTCCCCGCTCACCTGGAAACAAACAAACAAACAAACAAACAAACAAAGCACAAATCTGAACAAACCCAAATCTCAAAAATATAAAAGTACCACAAACTCCACAAAAAAACAAAATGTGAAAACGACAAATCCTGTAGTTGTAGTTTTAACGAAACAAAACACAACTCCAGGTCTGTTTGTGACAAGGAAAGTTCAGTCCAGTCCTGGTCCAGTCCTGGTCCAGTCCTAGTTTAGTCCTGGTTTAGTCCTGATTTAGACCTGCTTTAGGCCAGTCCTGGTTTAGTCCTGGTTCAGACCTGGTTTAGTCCTGGTTTAAACCTGGTTTAGTCTTGATTTAGTCCTGGTTTAGACCTGGCTTAGACCTGCTTCAGTCCTGCTTTAGTCCAGTCCTGGTTTAAGATCTGGTTTAGACCTGGTTTAGTCCTGGTTTAGACCTGCTTCAGTCCTGCTTTAGTCCAGTCCTGGTTTAGTCCTGGTTTAGACCTGGTTTAGACCTGGTTTAGACCTGGTTTAGATCTGGTTTAGATCCTGGTTTAGTCCTGGTTTTAGAGTCCTGGTTTAGACCTGGTTTAACCTGGTTTAGTCCTGGTTTAGTCCTGGTTTAGACCTGGTTTAGACCTGGTTTAGACCTGGTTTAGTCCTGGTTTAGACCTGGTTTAGACCTGGTTTAGACCTGGTTTAACCTGGTTTAGTTTATCCTGGTTTAGACCTGGTTTAGTCCTGGTTTAGACCTGGTTTAGTCCTGGTTTAGACCTGGTTTAGACCTGGTTTAGACCTGGTTTAGTCCTGGTTTAGTCCTGGTTCTCTTCTGTTCATCATTATCACATTCACAAACACATATTATTGTTAAAATAAAATAAAAACCACGCACCTGACAGAAGCACCTGGCGCACGCGGAGCGCACCTGGAGCAGCAGCAGCGCGAGGAGCACCGCTGGACTCATACCGGACCCGCACGCGCTCAGTTTAACGTGAGAAAAAAGCGTCAAAAAGCCCACGACCGTTTAGACCTGGTTTAGACCTGGTTTAGTCCTGGTTTAGTCCTGGTTTAGTCCTGGTTTAGTCCTGGTTTAGACCTGGTTTAGAAACACTCCACAGGACGAGACTGAAGCGCTGCGTGGGTTTGTGTTGCATCAGTACCGCGCGGCGCTTCCGTGTTTACAGTGCTACGTGACGGACGTGACCCAGGACGTGACCGTAGAGCGTACGTGACCGGCGTGACGCACGACGCCGCTCCCTCGCTCAGCATCACCGTCCATGATGCAACGAGTCCGAGTCTGACCCGAGTTTTTTTTTAAAGAAAGTTCAATTATGTGTTTTTATTTAACATCATAAACCGCAGTCCTGTTCTAATGTTGTTTCCTCCTCAAAAATCTTTATTATTAGTCTGCGGAAAATGCTGTGTTCCACCTTGTGATGTCACGAAGTGGTAGGTTTTTTAAAGTAAATTTTTAGGATTAAACCAGGAATAAACCAGGACTGAACAAGGACTGAATCAGGTCTAAACCAGGTCTAAACTAGTACTAAAACAGGACTAAACCAGGGCTAAACCAGGACTGAACCAGGACCAATACTAAGACTAAACCAGGACTAAACTAGTACTAAGACAAGACTAAACTAGGACTAAGCCATGGCTAAACCAATACTAAACCAGGACTAAACCAGAACTAAACCAGGACTAAACCAGAACTCAACCAGGACTAAACCAAGACTAAACCAGGATTAAACTAGGACGAAATAAGGACTAAACCAGAACTCAACCAGGACTAAACCAAGACTAAACCAGATACTAAAAACTAAGGACGAAACTAAAAGGACTAAACCAGAACTCAACCAGGACTAAACCAAGACTAAACCAGGATTAAACTAGGACGAAATAAGGACTAAACCAGGACTAAACAAGGACTCAACCAGGACTAAACCAACACTAAACCAGGATTAAACTAGGACGAAATAAGGACTAAACCAGAACTCAACCAGGACTAAACCAAGACTAAACCAGGATTAAACTAGGACGAAATAAGGACTAAACCAGGACTAAACAAGGACTGAACCAGGACTAAACCAGTGACCGGCGTGACGCACGACGCCGCTCCCTCACGTAGCATCACCGTCCATGATGCAACGAGTCCGAGTCTGACCCGAGTTTTTTAAAGAAAGTTCAATTATGTGTTTTTATTTAACATCATAAACCGCAAAAAAGACAAAACTGGGACATTTAAGGTACAAAAAAGCTGACCTCTGTGAGCTTTAAGTCCTGTGCTGATGTTGTTTCCTCCTCAAAAACAGACCTGGAGTTGTGTTTTGTTTCATTTACACATGTTTGAGTAAAACTTTATTATTTAGTCTGTTTATATCTCCAAAGCTCTAAATGCTGTGTTCCACCTTGTGATGTCATGAAGTGGTACGTTTTTTTTTTTAGTTAAATTTTAGGACTGAACCAGGACTAAACTGTGATTAAACCAGGACTAAACCAGGATTAAACCAGGACTAAACCAAGACTAAACCAGGACTAAACCAGGACGGAACCAAGAACTAAACCAGGACTAAACCAAGACTAACCCGAGTCCAGAGACATGAGTAAACCGGGGCTAAACCAGGACTAACCTGTGCCCAGAGACGTGAGTAAACCAGGACTAAAGCCGGGTTGAACCAGGACTAAACTAGAAGGGAATATGCTATACTAGAGAGACAGAGAGGCCTTGGCCTGGTCCTGGTTCAGTCCTGGTTTAGTCCTGGTTTAGTCCTGGTTCAGTCCTGGTTCAGTCTGGTTTAGTCCTGGTCTAGTCCTGTTTTAGTCCTGGTTCAGTCCTGGTCTAGTCCTGTTTTAGTCCTGGTTCAGTCCTGGTTCAGTCCTGGTTCAGTCTGGTTTAGTCCTGGTCTAGTCCTGTTTTAGTCCTGGTTCAGTCCTGTTTTAGTCCTGTTTTAGTCCTGGTCTAGTCCTTTTAGTCCTGGTTCAGTCCTCTTCAGTCTCTCTTCTTTAGTCTGCATAGTCCCTCCTGGTCCGGTCTTGGTCTCTGAGAATAACACGGCCGATGTGGAGGTGGTCCAGATCGACACCAGTCCGAGTCCAGACCTGGTCTTGGATCTCCTCGTGAACCCTGATGACCTCTTCTATCTCCACGGCAACGCCCTCATGGCCAAAAGAGGACTGGACTTCGAGGTGAGGACCAGACCTGGACTTTGGGCCTGGACCACAGACTGTTTTTCCAGAAACTTTTCCAAAAATCCAAATATTAAGAGTTCAAAGACGTCGCGCAGGTGACGTGTCTCCATGGAGATGTTATTGCTTTATCTGGAATGTCCCGGAATGGCATTAAACTTCACTAAACCATCTTGAATTTACTCAATAGCCGAGATTTTTTTGATATCTCTCGGTACGATAATTATTGCGACTTAAAAGTGTTAAAACTGTTATTTCTTCTTGTAGTCTGCACTGAAATGGAGCAAAGGATCATGGTCTATGTAGTTCCCTTTTGTTTAGTTTTTTTTTTTAGCTGTTGCTGCACCATAACTCTTCATTTAAGCAAAGAGACTTGTGATTCGATATATTGTGATGGTCCACTTTGAACTTTGACGATACGATATCAGGATATTTTGGTTATTTTACTTCTCTACTATCTACTATTTAGAATTTATTATCACCGTTTATATTTTTTACTCTGTATTATTATATTTATTGTGATGTGTGAGCTCCTGTGTCCAAATAATTTCCCTTNCTAAACCAATACTAAACCAGGACTAAACCAGGACTAAAACTCAGGACTAAACCAGGACTAACACTAAACCAGGACTAAACTAAACCAGGACTAAACCAAGACTAAACCAGGATTAAACTAGGACGAAATAAGGACTAAACCAGGACTAAACTAAGGACTAAACTAAACCAGACTAAGACTAAACCAACTAAACAGGACTAAAGCCAGGACTAAACCAATACTAAACCAGGACTGAACCAGGACTAAACCAGGACTTAAACTAAACCAGGACTAAACCAGACTAAACAAGGACTGAACCAGGACTAAACCAGTGACCGGCGTGACGCACGACGCCGCTCCCTCGTGCAGCATCACCGTCCATGATGCAACGAGTCCGAGTCTGACCCGAGTTTTTTAAAGAAAGTTCAATTATGTGTTTTTATTTAACATCATAAACCGCAAAAAAGACAAAACTGGGATATTTAAGGTACAAAAAGCTGACCTCTGTGAGCTTTAAGTCCTGTGCTGATGTTGTTTCCTCCTCAAAAACAGACCTGGAGTTGTGTTTTGTTTCATTTACACATGTTTGAGTAAAACTTTATTATTTAGTCTGTTTATATCTCCAAAGCTCTAAATGCTGTGTTCCACCTTGTGATGTCATGAAGTGGTACGTTTTTTTTTTTAGTTAAATTTTAGGACTGAACCAGGACTAAACTGTGATTAAACCAGGACTAAACCAGGATTAAACCAGGACTAAACCAAGACTAAACCAAGACTAAACCAGGACTCCAGAGACGTGAGTAAACCAGGACTAAAGCCGGGTTGAACCAGGACTAAACTAGAAGGGAATATGCTATACTAGAGAGACAGAGAGGCCTTGGCCTGGTCCTGGTTCAGTCCTGGTTTAGTCCTGGTTTAGTCCTGGTTCAGTCCTGGTTCAGTCTGGTTTAGTCCTGGTCTAGTCCTGGTTCAGTCCTGGTTCAGTCCTAGTTTAGTCCTGGTTTAGTCCTGGTTTAGTCCTGGTCTAGTCCTGGTTTTAGTCCTGGTTCAGTCCTGTTTTAGTCCTGTTTTAGTCCTGGTCTAGTCCTGTTTTAGTCCTGGTTCAGTCCTGGTTCAGTCAGTCCTGGTCTTCTCTCTCTTTAGTCTGCATAGTCCCTCCTGGTCCGGTCTTGGTCTCTGAGAATAACACGGCCGATGTGGAGGTGGTCCAGATCGACACCAGTCCGAGTCCAGACCTGGTCTTGGATCTCCTCGTGAACCCTGATGACCTCTTCTATCTCCACGGCAACGCCCTCATGGCCAAAAGAGGACTGGACTTCGAGGTGAGGACCAGACCTGGACTTTGGGCCTGGACCACAGACTGTTTTTCCAGAAACTTTTCCAAAAATCCAAATATTAAGAGTTCAAAGACGTCACGCAGGTGACGTGTCTCCATGGAGATGTTATTGCTTTATCTGGAATGTCCCGGAATGGCATTAAACTTCACTAAACCATCTTGAATTTACTCAATAGCCGAGATTTTTTTGATATCTCTCGGTACGATAATTATTGCGACTTAAAAGTGTTAAAACTGTTATTTCTTCTTGTAGTCTGCACTGAAATGGAGCAAAGGATCATGGTCTATGTAGTTCCCTTTGTTTAGTTTTTTTTTTTAGCTGTTGCTGCACCATAACTCTTCATTTAAGCAAAGAGACTTGTGATTCGATATATTGTGATGGTCCACTTTGAACTTTGACGATACGATATCAGGATATTTTGGTTATTTTACTTCTCTACTATCTACTATTTAGAATTTATTATCACCGTTTATATTTTTTACTCTGTATTATTATATTTATTGTGATGTGTGAGCTCCTGTGTCCAAATAATTTCCCTTATGGATCAAAAACGTTTGTCTAAGTCAGGGGTGTCAAACTCATTTTGGTCCGTATCCAACCTACTTTGATCCCAAAGGGGCCGGATCAGAAAACTCATGGCATATAAACCCCAAAAATAACAATAAGTTCAAATATTTGTGCAGACAAATGCAAATCTATTTCAAAAATCTTTTTTAATTGATGAACTTTTTCTTTTACAAAATATTATAATATTATGAACAACCTGAAACTTCAAGAAAAATGCAATTTCAACACAATGTTTTAACATGAACTTGTTTAAAATTAACTTGTATAAATAGGAATAAGTAAGTTTTTCTTGGAAAATCCTGCACTCGGCTCCACTTTTCTCATGTTGACATTTTTCTGATGAGGGTGTCACGGTCAACAGTCAAAACGATCGTCCTTTAAGAGCGTTTGGAAAGAGACAAGTCTTCATTTGTGCTGCTCTGGTGGGAGGGGCCACGTACAGAGACGCTGGAGACGCTGCTGTGATAAACACCACAGAAAATTAACAAGATTTTAATAAAAAAATAGAATCAAAATATTTTTGTAGAAAATCAGCTGAGGGCCACATTAAAGGTCTTGGAGGGCCGGATCTGGCCCCCGGGCCGCTTGTTTGACACCTGTGGTCTAAGTCTAGGTTTCCTCAGTTTCCCATGGTGCTCTGGTCTCTGTACTCCGTTTCCCATGATGCACCGGGCTCTGTACTCCGTTTCCCATGATGCACCGGGCTCTGTACTCCGTTTCCCATGATGCACCGGGCTCTGTACTCCGTTTCCCATGATGCACCGGGCTCTGTTATAGTCCCATGTGAGGGCCTGTTGTGTTTCTGCTTTGGATTCAGAAATGTGAAGTGTGTGGGAGAAGCATGAGGTCACAACGCCGAGTCTGTGTCTCCCACCGCTCCACGTGCACGCTCATGGACACACGTGCACGCTCATGGACACACGTGCACGCTCATGGACACACGTGCACGCTCATGGGCTCACGTGCACGCTCGTGATGACATGTGCGTGCACGTGTGAGGGAAGTGTCGTATTAACCTTCTGGTCCTCTTCAAAAATGAGGTCACGTTTGTCACCTCAGCGACCCCTCAGTCCTTTTTTAGTCCTGGTTTAGTGCTGGCTCAGTTTTGTTTAGTCCTGTTTGAGTCCTGGTTTAGTTCTGGTTCAGTCCTAGTTTAGTCCTGGTTTAGTCTTTGTTCAGTTCTGGTTTAGTCCTGGTTCATCACTAGTTTTGTCCTAGTTTAGACCTGGTTTAGTCCTGGTTTAGTCCTGGTTTAGTCTTAGTCCTGGTTCAGTCCTGGTTTAGTCCTGGTTTAGTCCTAGTTTAGTCCTGGTTTAGTCCTGGTTAGTCCTGGTTTAGTCCTGGTTCAGTCCTAGTTTAGTCCTTGTTTAATCCTAATTCAGTCCTGGTTTAGTCCTGGTTTAGACCTGGTTTAGACCTGGTTCTTCTATTTCTACTTTACTCAAACATGTGCAAACTTTATATATACATTATATATTTCTTTTACTTTATGAGGCAATTTTGCAATAAAAGTAAAATAATTATATTAACACAACAACAACAACAAAACAACAACAACAACATAAACAACAACAACATAAAACAACACAAACAACAACATAAACAACAACAACAACATAAACAACAACATAAAACAACAACAACACAAACAACAACAACATAAACAACAACAAACAACAACATAAACAACACAAACAACAACAACAACAATAAACAACACACAAACAAACAACATAACAACAAAACAACAACAACAACATAAACAACAACAAACAACAACAACAAAACAACACAAAACAACAACATAAACAACACAAACAACAACAACAAACAACACAAACAACAACATAAACAACAACAAAACAACATAAACAACACAAACAACAACATAAACAACAACAACAACATAACAACAACAAACAACACAAACAACAACAACAACATAAACAACACAAACAACAACAACAACAACAACAAACAACAACAAACATAAACAACAACAACAACAAAACAACAACAACAACAACATAAACAACAACAACATAAACAACACAAACAACACAAAAACAACATAAACAACAACAACAAAACAACAACAAACAACAACAAAACAACAACATAAACAACAACATAAACAACACAAACAACAACATAAACAACAACACAAAACAACAAACAACAAACACAAACAACAACATAAACAACAACAACAAAACAACAACAACATAAACAACACAAACAACAACATAAACAACAACATAAACAACACAAACAACAACAACAACAACAACAACAACAACAACAAAACAACAACAACACAAACAACAACATAAACAACAACATAAACAACAACAACAACATAAACAACAACAAACAACAACAACAACAACATAAACAACACAAACAACAACATAAACAACAACATAAACAACAACAAACAACAACAACAACAACAACAACAAAACAACAAAACATAAACAACAACACAAACAACATACACGTTTCCAAAATCAAGATAAAAATTCCTTCATTAGGATCATTTCATACGTGGAATTGCCGATCTCTACTGAACTGTTCACTTGAAAACTTCCACTTCGTGACATCACAAGGTGGAACAGAGCATTTCCAGCTTTGGAAATGTAAACAAACTAATAATAAAGATTTACTCAAACATGTGAACGAAACAAAACACAAGTCCAGCTCTGTTTTTGTTTTTGAGGAGGAAACAACATTAGAACTCGACTTAAAGGTGCATTCTGTAACTTTTCTGG